CTTTCTCTTTCTCTCTCTCTCTCTCTCTCTCTCTCTCTCTCTCTCTCTCTCTCTCTCTCCCTTTCTGTCTTTTCTTTTCTTCTCTTTTTTCTTTTTTTGTTTTTCCAGACAGGGCTTCTCTATGTAGCTTTGGAGGCTGTCCTGGAACTTGCTCTGGAGACCAGGCTGGTCTCGAACTCAAGAGATCGCCTGCTTCTGCCTCCTGAGTGCTGGGATTAAAGGCGTGCGCCACCAACGCCCGTTGGGAGGCATTTTCTTAATTGAGGTTCCCTCCTCTCAGATGACTTTAGTTTGTGTCAAGTTGACACAAAACTATCCATTACACGCTATAAAGGAAAAAGCCAGGTTTTGCCAGCAGTAGAGCTGGCATGATAGGGTCAGCCACTTTCACATTCAGTATGAAACACACACTTGTATTGCATGTTGCAAAAAGGAGTTGGCATATACATGCTGTTACTAACTTAGCACATACATACTAATAATGGTTTGCTTGTTCTGTATTTATTCTTCCTCCCAGCCCAGATGCCCCTGGAAGGGTTTGATACTGACAGACACTAACTAGATTCATGGTATTTCCCCAACATATTTTATTTATTAATTGTGTGTGTGTGTGTGTGTGTGTGTGTGTGTGTGTGTGTGTGTGTGTGTGTAAGTCAGAGGACAGAAAACTTTTGGGAAGTGGTTCTCTCCTTCCGCTATGTGGTTCTTAGGGAATCGAATTCAGGGCTCCAGGCGTGGCAGCAAGAACCTTTACCTGTTGAGTCATATCTTGGTGTCCTTTACATTCAGGGTTTGAAGCAGTGTTTGGGGCTGAAGATGCATGGAAAGAGGAAGGAGTGTATGGGGTGATAATGAGAGGCATAGAGAGGCTGCCCAGAGGGGAGAGACTGACCTCTGAATGACAGACTGCCTTTGCCCCCCCCCATATGACCTGCTGGTTTTTAGGCTGTTAGTCCAGTCTCTTCCACGTGACATCTCTCTGAATAAAGTGCAGTTTTAAAGATGCAATTCTTGTCTCTGCTCATGGATTCTTTAGGCCACAGGCAGCAGGTGGGTCTGGAAACTCTGGGTTTGGACAGGGCCTTGGAACATGCTGTGTGGGCACCAGCAGCATTCTGAAGCTGGGCAGTTCCCTTTCCTACAGCTGGAATTTTTAAACATCCGACCCAACTGAGAGGAGCAGGTCTAGAGAGTTCCTGCAGGGGCATCTAGCTTTGGGTCTGGAAAACAGGTGCAAGCAATTCTAGGTAAAGTCCTATTTTGACTGTACCAGTTGTTCTGTTTTGAAAGCAAGCCCTCTTCAAAAGATTCATTGTCTCCCTTTATGCATGCATGTATGCACTGTGTGTGTGTGTATCCCCTGAGTTTCATGTCTTGGAGGTCAGAGTATAACTCTCAGAAGTTGGTTCTGTGTGTGTGTGTGTGTGTGTGTGTGTGTGTGTGTGTGTGTGTGTGTGTGTGTGATGTCCTGGAGGTCAATGTATAACTCAGAAGTTGGTTCTCTCCTCCTACTTTGTGGGATCCAGGGATCCAACTCAGGTCATTAGGCCTGGCCCCTCTCTGTCTACTGAGCCATCTTACCATCACTTTTTGAGATAGAGTCCTTTGTAGCCCAGGCTGGCCTGGAATTTGCTATATAGCCAACATTGGTCTTGAACTCCTGACTCTAGTGCTTCCACCTCCCAGGCACTGGGGTCATAGGCATGCACCTCCATCCCCAACTTTGCCTCTCTTGCATGAAGGAAGCAGTCTAACCCTCTATGTTGTTGTTGTTGTATAGCATTATTAATTTTATTTTTCCCAAATATTCTTTTACAGTTCTTTTATGTGGAGAGACTGTGATCCACAGATCACGTCTCCTCTCTTATGGGTGTATTATTCAGTTTCTTAAAATGCCTTCCTGATTATATTTTGATTAAAAACCCATCCGGGTTCCTAGAACATACATCTCAGCTGACTGGCTGTGTCTGGGGAAGATGAACCTTGTGGAATTCAGGAATTCGTCTTTCATTTTCAGAAGAATAGGTGTTCTTTTTTATGCAGAAGACCTGGGAAAACAGAGGGGTTTCACCTCTCTGAAGCAGAGTGTTGGCTACAAATTACCCTGGAGGTGTATGTGGGGCAGTTCCTGTTAGAAAGTCTAAACTTCGTTCTCCTAGTGGCTCAGTGGACCAGCCCCCATCTGCTTTTGTTCAGTGTTCAGTTCTTCTGAGTGAAGGAATAGGCATAGCTGTCTTAGCATCCATACATTACACATGTGTCTAGTACAGAGTGACTTGGTCACGAGGACTGACTGAGTGAGCTCAATAGTGGGTTCAGAGTCCTGGCCCCTAGAAGCTGACTTGGCCTACAACCCTGGCTGTATGTGCACTGCAGTTAGAACAGCTGTTTTATTTTCTAAGGGACCATCTAAAAGAATGATTAAAATTAAAGTTAAAAAGCGCCTTAGAAGATGAGGTGCTGATGGAGGGAAAACTGTAAACCACAGAATTCCAAATTTCTTCTCAAACTTGCTGCTGACTCCTGAAAAGTAAATGCATATAAGTTTGGAAATTCATATTAAAATGCAAATAAATCAGGTGGGCACAGCTGT